TTATAACATCTGGCCCCCTTTTTTTCTAAAATAAAATAATAAAATAATACAGGCGTTTTTCGGTCTCAAAGTTTGAAACAAAAACAGCATTGGGTGCGTTCAGTCCGTCAACTCAGAAAGATTAATCAGCTCCAAATGTAAACTTGGTGATTTTTTTTCTCTGAGTTTCTTTCAAATCTGCTCTCAGACGTTCATGGTGGATGTTAATAACCTGTTTGGTTTCTGTCTCTTCTGTCTGCCCTCAGCTGGAGGACGAGCTGCTCGCTCTGCAGAAGAAGCTGAAGGGAACGGAGGATGAACTGGATAAGTTCTCCGAGGCCCTCAAGGACGCTCAGGAGAAACTGGAACTGTCGGAGAAGAAGGCCACAGATGTGAGTTAACCACAGTGGAGAGAGCGTCTGAAAGGCATTACTCGCTTATTCACGCTGCCACCGCAACCTTTTAGTTTCTCTCCTACGCAGCAGCAATATCTGCTCCTGCTCCTGCAGCTGGACTGAAATGAATATTCACAGGAGTAACAGTCGAAATAATATCTCGACCAGAACTGAATCTGCTCTTTAAAGTCTGTTTGGTTAGTGTGACAAAAAAAAAGCTAACACATTTTGTTACTTAACAATACTTTTTGTAACAAAATCAGATAATACGGTCAATTAATGCCACGAGAATCTAAAGCTCCTTCTTTTGTTCTATTCAGCTCTTTTGTTGACCCAGAAAAGCCCAAATTAGTCATCAAATGGCTGCTGGAGGTTTTATCTCCTAACCCAGACAGGGATGAGGAACAGTAAGTTACTGTTGCTCACTGAGCGCCGTAACCAAACTATTTCTTAGGCACAGACAAAACTTGGCCAGCCTTTAGCCCACCAGGAATCCCAGGAATGCAGCTTGAGCAAACAGAGAACCCCATACTGCAGCGACTAATGAAATCAATGCTTTGGCCTTTTTTGGGGTGGAGATATTATAGCGTCTGCTGCGTGGCTTCACACCGCACACAATGGGTAAAGGTAACTAGTCTTTAAAGACATTTATGTTGTGCATTTACTCAAATATTGCTTCCTGGGGAAACACAGTCAGTTGACTCATGATAAGACCTGATAAGGTGTAATATATGTAAAAGCAAACACTAAAGAGCTATTGGCTGAAAACCTGGCCTGTCGTAGTTGATCGAATAAAAAATGAAGCATTACATTTTTTCCTTTATTTCTCAAAAACATGAAGTTCAGATTATCTTTATCTGCTTCAGACACTTCAAGTTATTTAAACCTGACACTTCATTGTTTGTTCTCTAGGTAACCAGAAGCAGGTGAGAAGATTTTAAAGGGTAAATTAATCAAGGTGAAAGTCTGTGAGGTTAATGGGGTTAACAGATGACATCAGGTGTTTTATTTTCTGGCTGAGCCACTTTTTCTTTCTCTCCTGTTGTTGAGGGGAGCTGATGCATGAAAGGTCAGAAAGAGGGAATAAATTCAGGATTTTCTTTTGAAGAAAAGAGAAGGAGGAGGAGGCAGAAGGGGGCGCTGAAGGAATGTTTTGCGACCCTTATTGCTGCGGGTCATGTCTCCAAACAAATCAATTTACATTCCAAGCCCGTGTGCAGGTCAACAACCCTTACTGGATGGGATTCTTGCAGCCCCACCCAATCGCCTGACTTTTACTAAAATCTTAAGCATAATAGCTGAGGCTTTGTTGCATAGTGTTCCTCCTTCTGTAACTTGGACAGTTTTTCCACTTTGTTGCAATCAGATCTGATCAGACATGACTCGTGTTACATAAGTTACTCATACTGGGCTACACTTCCGGTCTGAGCAGGAAAAAAGGCAGCATGTGCAACATCTTCCCATATAAGTCCAGCAGGCTTCCTCTCATAAACAGATCAAACTCATGGGTTATGTTGATTACTCAATTGTGGGGTCAAAGATGTTGGGTTAGTTTTACCAAACACTGGGTCAACAGGTTTGGCCAAGGGTTGGAGATTAGGGATGCAAACTCTGAGAAACTGACAGAAGAGAGCAGGTTTGGCACGTTTTCATTAGCTCAAGCCACAAATTCAACTACTCTGCCCACAAAAACATTTTGTGGACTGAGGAGCAGAACAAATGGGGCACTATTTAAAAGGAAACAAACAAAGAAATAATAATTGTCTTATTTTGTACTAAATATATTTAAGTTATATAACACCATAGGAGGGATGTCATTAATGAAAACTAGATACCGCATAGCGTTAACATAATGACCCCCGCACACACAAATGCACCAGAACTCAGAAGTCTTTATTCCTAATAAATGCCATGCTAGTAGGTGCATCCCAAAATTGTAGAGGCTTGGCAAGGGGGCTTTTTTTTTGGGGGGGGGGGGGCAATTGGTTGACCTGATGGATAGCTCCTCATCAGAGCTAAACAACCAAAGAAAATCTGAAGCTCCTATGTTGAACAGTTTCTGAGTTATAAGCATTTTTGCATGTCCACACACCCCCTCTTTGGAAGGAGCCCCCTCCTCAAATATGGGGTCTATTGTAAAACTGTTGGCTGGCGCAGTGTAGGTCAGACTCATCTACAGTCCTACCAAATTTCATGTTGATTGGTGCAGCCATTTTTGTGCTACGGTCGACCAAAATCACTGAAAAAAATAAAAATAAAACATTAACCCATATGAAAACAAAATGACTCCCAATTTCGCTTCGCATGCATAATTAACAACTTGGAACATTTATTAGTCATTTTTGTTATTTTAATCTTTTAGGTAATGCTTTACACCTTTTAGCTAAAGCTTTTTGCTACATTTAACATTTTGCTAGCAATTTGCAACATTTTGATTCTTTTTAGTTGCTGTTTTCTAATAAAGAAAGGTAACTTGTAAAAATATATTTAACCAAACCCTCATGAGGGGACTGGATGGAAGTCACCCGCAGGCCCGATGTGGCCTGCAGGCCGCCAGTTTCCCATCCCTGCGCTAAACTGTTTGTTATCCAAAAATAACAATAGTTGGTGCTGGCTAAGTGAGGCTAAGTTTGCCAGCTAACTAGCACTAACACATAATAATCTAATAACCCAAACTTTGTTTTTGTTTTTCTTTGCAACTCAATTTACTAACTCTAATTTAAGAAATTATAACTCAATTTTTGGGGTAGAAAACTTAAACCAGTGCACGCTAGGTAAAAACTACCCAGGGTTACAAATTGAGTTTGTTTTTTAACCCAGCAGTTTTCAGTGTGTGTGATATGACGCACTTTCCTTTGTGTGGAGGGGGAAAAATGAGTTCCTTCCCCTCCTGAATGTTGTGATGTCACCTCACACAGGCGTCTTCACAGGATTGGAGGATCTCGTCATAAATTTCCTGAAAACTCCCAGCCCTTTTTTTTTTTTTTTTTTTTTTTTTTTTGCCCCAACCCATCCCATCCCAGCCCTGCACGTCCCTGATTTCCTGCCAGAGGAAAAGGAAGAGGGGAGAGAAAAGAAAAAAACTTTTTTTGTCAGAGCTTGAAAGTTCAGCGCAAATTACCTTCTACCCGATCCTTTTAGACTCTTTTAAGTTCTTCTTCTTTTATTAATTTATTACCGGGTTTGTATAAACGAAATAATCGCAGTCATGGAGATGGTGAAGAAGAAGATCCAAACTCTGCAGCAGCAAGTTGATGAGGCTGAAGAACGCGCACTGGAGATACAAAGAGAGCTGGATACAGAACGGGAACAGCGCGAAAAAGTGAGATTATTCATACTTCCGTCCAGTTTAAACCACATCTTGTTACTGAGGACTAAATACTCTACCTTTTAAAACACATTTACTGCTTAAAACGCGCACATTAAGGCTTTAAAGCAGCTTTAACCGGTCACATATGCATATTTGTTCCTTTTTATCTGCTTTTTATTGATTAGTTATCCATTTAAGTTGTTCGGATGACTTTTCTTCAGTTAGTTATCTAACTTCAACCCGCCCCAAACCCACCGCAACACTCTGAAAAGCCTCCTTGGGGATTTTAAAGTGCCCAAATATACTTTAAATGCACGTTTAGGACTTTGTAATACTTTGATTTATTATCGGCTGCCGCCAGAGGCAAAGGCGGAGTGATAATGTTTATGCCACTCTCTGGGTGTGTGTTTGTTTGCGCTGTTAGCAAAATATTTCACGAACTATTGGGTGGATTTGAATGAAACTCTCAGAAAGTGGTCACAGGATGTACAACTAGAGCTGATTAACTTTTAGAGGAAATCCCATTCAATATGGCCGCCACAGCTAAGCAACTTTACCAAGCACATAAAAGGCCACAACTCGGTCAAATTTGTAGATGTTGAGCTCAAGTTTGGTGTGTTAGTAGCTGAGAGTCATCCCCAACACTTACTCTGAGCTCTACTCATTAGGCAAGATATTTATTGTAAAACTTGCGTTTTAAACATCTCCATCAAGCTTGTTTGTCTGTTAGCAAAATATCTCATGAATCACTGGACCAATTCTGATGAAACTCTCAGGAAGCAGTCACTGGACACACATCTACTTCCAATTCAAGATGGCAGCTACAGCTCATCAACATTAACCAATAAAAAATGGCTAGAACTCAGCCATTTTTAAAGAGATTGTGCTCAAACTTGGTGTGGTCATATGAGAGTCATCCTCAACACATATTCTGAGCATTAACCCATCTTGTGAGATATGGCTGTGACGGCCATCTTGAATAAAAACTCTGTAACGGAAATGAGGAGGCGATATGCAATCTGTTAAATTTCCTTAGCGCCATTTTCAAACATCCAAAGGTCTCTGTTTCACTTTGAGTCATTTATACCTTTTTTAACACAAAGCCTGTCTGAACTGAACGTCTCCTCCTCCTCTTGAGCACACAGGAAGAAGAGGACAGACATGGTTATCTGAGATATCAGGCCTTCAGGAAACAGGAGCCAGCTGTGACATTTCAGAGTTTTCAGGGTTAAATTGTCTCTCCACTTTTCTCCCGCCGTCAGCATGTTTTCAAAGTGTCTGCTCAGGCTGCAAAGTCCACGGCTTGTTACAGCTGCTAAAGGTGAAACGAACCGGCTGCTCCCTGGAGAAAAAAAAGAAAAACAGAGATGATTCACAATCAGTCGGGGACGTTTCAGTCGATCTTCAGTTTGCTCTTGGGCAACACTGAATCATGTCGCCTCTGAGTTTGCTTCTCAGTGGGAAAACTCTTCAAACCAAATCCATTTTTGCTGTAATGCTTACAATGAAGGTTGGAATCGGGGCGGATCAGACCGCTTGACTGCAAGTCGGGGCAAATCAGACTCAGGGTTTGAACATTGGCTTCAGATGAACATGACTTCAGATCTGGAATTTGATCAAAAGTTGCACAAATAAGGTGCACATTACTTCCTGAGTCCAGGACTGGGAGCAAACACTCCTTATGTTTTTGTACTAAATGCATAACAACACTGTGTGCCTTTCTTGTAAATTAGATTAATGTTTTTTGTTCATTATTGTTAACATTTTGCTACCAGTAAAACTATGAGAGGCATAATATTAAAAAAAATATTAGGATTGCATGAATGTGTGCGTTATTAATGTCACAAAAGGCTATTTACACTACAGTAAATCTTAGGCTGTTAAAAACACAACAGCATATTTACCAAACCAGTGGAGTCTCAAAGGTCCTGATGCCCACACCTGTTTTAGAGGGAGTTTGTTGGGATGCTAAAGTGATTAGAACGTTATGGTTACTATAATTATAGGAAATGGGGTTTTATTGCAGCTGATATAAACTTGTCATCGCAATAACATCTCATGTTTACTAATTTTGCGCAGCTTCTCTCTGCAGTGACACTCTCTACCTCCTCCTGGAGGATCTCACGGTGTTCCCAGACCAGTGAGAATACATAATCCCTCCAATCAGTCGAAAGTTCATAGAAACCCTGCAGAGGAATGCACTCCCAAGATGTATTCTAATCAAATACTCAAACCACTTCAGCTGATCAACCGGAGCAGCGGCTCTGCTTAGATCCCCCTGGATGATGCCTGTCCACACCCTGTGACTAGCCTGGCCCCCCCTCTACGAAACAAGCTCATTTTAGGTGACGTATCCACTTGCTGGCGAGCAGACTGCTGGTCAAAACCCTGCAGAGAACCCTGGCTACAAACCCAGAAAAGCTACAGGGAGCCACCCCCTGTGGAGAGAGCTGTCAAGGCTGGGTGTGATGCAAGCCATGTGGCAGGCGAGGGCGAGGCCCTGGGCGTGCTCATTCCTGACTACTCCTGTACTTAAAGGTCTTGCAGGGTAGTGTTTTGAAACATAAACGTTTTGAATTTTTTAAATTTTGCTTACCAAATTACCTCCTAAAATGGAGTTTTTCACCCATCTGAGCTATGCTGAAACACATCATCCTGTATTTGAAGTGAAATCCTTTCGGTTTAACAGCCTCCTCTTTCCTGGCTGACCCTTGACCCCCCCTCTCTGTCGCTTTCCCTTTGTGTGGCTGCAGGCCGAGGGCGAGGTGGCGTCTCTGAACCGGCGCATCCAGCTGGTGGAGGAGGAACTGGACCGAGCTCAGGAGAGACTGGCCACAGCCCTGCAGAAACTGGAGGAGGCTGAGAAGGCAGCAGATGAAAGTGAAAGGTGACATCCAGAGGCGTTTTATGTATTAAATGTTTCCACTGAAAGCTAGGTCGACTTAAAAGTACCGCAGGTTTTTATTGCTTCAGTAGGCCGAGGCAGCTGAACTGAATCTGTGCGTCTTTCTCGTCTTCAGGGGCATGAAGGTCATCGAGAACAGAGCCATGAAAGACGAGGAGAAGATGGAGATTCAGGAGCTGCAGCTGAAAGAGGCCAAACACATTGCCGAGGAGGCCGACCGCAAATACGAGGAGGTACGGACGCAGAGATCAGCGGCTCTGCTGAACATCTCTGGCGTCGCTTGTTCTGCTTCTGCCCGGCTGTAACTCTTTCTGATGACAGGTTGCTCGCAAGCTGGTGATCCTCGAGGGGGACCTGGAGAGGGCGGAGGAGAGGGCGGAAATCGCTGAATCGTAAGGCGCCGTCACGACGAACCAGTCAAATGGCCGGCAGGTTTTGTTCAGCCGTTAGTAATTCTCTCTCCGTTTCCTGCAGGAAGTGTAACGACCTGGAGGAAGAGCTCAAAAACGTCACCAACAACCTGAAGTCTCTAGAGGCTCAGTCTGACAAGGTGAAGCTCCTCCCAGCTATCAACCTATAACCACTAAAGACAGTTTAACTGATATTTAATGGTAGTAAAATAATTGACCTATTCGTTTTTTTAGTACTCTGTGAAAGAAGACAAGTACGAAGAGGAGATCAAAGTCCTGAATGACAGGCTTAAGGAGGTAAATTTGCTTTTCTTTGATCCACCTGTGATCATATGGTCTGCGTCTGGATGATAAACAAGTTTTTTGTTTTACAAAGGCGGAAACCCGCGCAGAATTTGCTGAAAGGACAGTGGCAAAGCTCGAGAAGACCATAGATGACTTAGAAGGTACACTTCCTTTCAACTCTTTTTTTTATTTCCAATCCAGTCACGATCTATACTCTCTTCTTTACTGAGCATTTGTTTCAGCTATTATTATTAATATATAATCTTAATTGCACTCCTTTTTCTGTTTCTTTTCCTTGATCTGCTGAACCTCTTCGTCCCGCTTTCCTTCTGACCTGCAGACGAGTTGTACACGCAGAAGCTGAAATACAAGGCTATCAGCGAGGAGCTGGATCACGCCCTCAATGATATGAATACCTTGTGAAGCTTACCTTTGGCTTATTGTGTCTTTACTCTCTGTTTGTTTCGCTCTTAGTAAAACTTCATCTCATCTCGCCGTCCTCTCACTGCTGTTGGCTTATTTTTCCGCTGAACCGAAGCACAATAAAACCATTTTTGCTCTCTTTAACTCTTCTGTTTTCTGTCCACTGTTAAAAGACCAGACTTACTGGTTTATACATGTAGATGCCACAATATTATTATTGGTTTTTTTTTAATTAAAAGGATGTTAGCAATCTTATCTTTAGAAGTGGGGATTTGCAGAACCTGAGTTTGAAGAAACAGAGTTTACTTGCATCTTAAAACTACTCCAATCCAAAATAGATAAATAAATCTTAACAGTTTCATGGTTTTCCTACAGGAAGTGCACCAGGCTTGCAAAAAAAAAAACATTATTCTGTGTAAAGAACCATGAAATGTAATGTAATTGTTTTCAAATTAGCATTCATGAAACCTCTGAGAATCTGGTCAGAATTAAACTCTGTTTCTCCAAACTGAATCTGTTTAAAGAGCCGTCTACAACAGGTAAGATATTTATTTGTTCATAACTCCTGCTTCCAAAAGTCTGAACATTTTCTTTAACGCCTCACTTGTCTTAACGCCTATGAGATGAATTTATTTGTTCTAACAAGTTGTTATATTTTCCATCCGCTGCTCCGTTTTCTCACAGAGAACCTTTCACGAGCGAAAGAAGAAAACGTAGGAATGCACCAAGTCCTGGACCAAACTCTGCAGGAGCTCAACAGCTTGTAAAACATCAAAAAGAACATCCAGTAAAAAAGAGCAACAAACTTTTTTTTTGTTTTGTTTTTTTGTAAAAGAAATTTTCTACATCATGCCATCCATTGTAATTTCACTCCTACCTTTGTTAAACATATGTAGCCCATTTATATATTTATGGTTCTTTTGTTTCTTTTTTTTTTTCTTTTTTTAATGGTTTCGGGTCCAAACAATTTCAGTATTGGTGCTAGAAATTGTGTTTTAGACCGAACTCCGAGCACAAATAAAGCTCATGATCATGTCAAAGTGTTGTCGCTGCTGCGCGTTTGTGTCCTTTCTGTGAGTGTGTCTTGTTCTGCACATTTTTGTTTTTGTGACCTTGAGGCAATTTCAGCACTCAGCTATGAGGTTTAGAAGATAAACAGAAAAAAAAGAGCTTGCATGTGTGAACACGCATTGTGTTTTGTGTAAGAGGTTGAAAATGTTGTTGAAGTTACGTAATCTTAGCTCCCACAAGTAAAATGGCTCTAATTTCTGGATTTTTTTTCTTTGTGACATACACCATTTATCCACAGTTCAAACAAGAAAAGCGTCCAATAACATAAGTCAGCATTTAGCAACTACTTTTTTTCTGCAGCATCACACAGTAGGCCTAATTATACTCACAAAATATATTTCTTAAACAATGACTTTAGAGGTTCTGTTGATGTATATTAACTGTTTTTGGAAACAAGCATTAAAATGTAAACAAGAATTGCACCAGACTTATAAATGGCCTTGATGCTGACCTAAAGCAACCAGAGTTTCAACTGATACCAAATGAGTCTTTGAGGATAAATAACAAGGAGGATAAGACTGACAGGAAGTAGGACAGTGTGTTACATAGACAGCATAATGTCTATGCTACCCTCTGTCATAAAAAAAACAAAAAACAAAAAAACAAATGTGGACTAATGGTCACAAAAGAAAGTATGGAGTTTTGGAAATTTGATGATAATTTCTGTCTCATTGGACAGACCACCTGGAATCTGACATTGAAAAAAAATATATATATATATATAT